TCGTGTACTTCCCTGTCATAGCTTTTATCCTCCATTATTGAAATTACAAATAAGTCTTATCCTTGAATTGAATGTTTCATGAGAATCCCTTTTACTGCTCTGTGTCTGGTACATATTAGAACATTCAGTAAGTATTTGTTGAATGCATGAATGACTGGATGTCTAGGATACTGTTATCTGAAATATTGTCTTAATTCGGCCACTTCTCACCTTTTCCATCGTTTTTACCTTAGTCCAAGTCACCACCTCTCCTCTCAGATAGATTCCTCCCAATGGGTCTCCTTGCTTCCACTCTGTCTTCCCCATAGTCTGTTCTCACATGGCCACCGGAATGAGTCTGTGTAAATGCTCACCACGTGACGCCACTCCACAGTGTCTAAACCTACTGTGCTTCTCTTTGCCCTCAGAATAAAATCTGCACTCCTTACATACATAATTTAAATTAGATACTTAAAGGGTCTTTAGTGTATTTTGGAAATAAAAATTTTCATCCAAATTTTGATGATTTTAATTTATGTTTATAGACTTTTAAATAACAGTGTAGGGACTTCCCTGGCGGTCCACCGGTTAAGACTCTGAGCTTCCACTGCAGGGAGTACGGGTTCGATCCCTGGTGGGGGAACTAAGATCCTGCAGGCCGCGTGGTACAGCCAAAAAAAATAAAAGATTAAATAACAGTGTAAATGCTGGTTGGCTGTTTTGCTTTTCGTCAAAAACCTTTGCAAAAAACTGTGAAACTTTCAGAAGCATCCATTATAAAGTTTCAGAGAACAGAATTTATTTTCAGTGTGCTCAAATATATATTGTATTGGAATTGGTTCAGCATAAATCACTAAATCATTTAAATTTTTTAAGTGAAATATTTTTAACACTGACCTTAATTCTCATTATTGAGAACTTCAAAATAAGTTCATATTTCAAAGTCGTGTGCTTATATGCGTGGGGTCATATGTAAATACTTTTTAAGTCACTCCATGGCAATGAGTCAGTGCTTCTCTTTCAAAGCATCGGAATTTTCTTTAGGATATTTTTGATTTGGTAGCAGAACTCATAGACAGTTGACAGTTAATTGAAACAACTTGCTGGCTCATTAAATTTGTTTTTGTTTCTCTTTCCTTTTACATACCTGTGCTGCCTTCCTAATAGTTTCCAGTGCTTTCCCACAAAAGGGTGTCATTGGTTTCTCAGTATATCCACTAAGTTAGTGAAATTATTATTAACTTCATTTTACAGACTAGGAAACAAAGCCCAGGAGGATGAGCAATTCTCTGAGTTTACATTCTTTGTGAGGGAGGGATCCATGGCTCTTAGTCTGTTGTTTTTATTCTTCTCTTCTATGCAGTTTTTTCCTGAATTCTTAATCCAGTGTATGCTTTTTATTTTATTTTGCTAATTATATAAACAGATTTATAATTATACAAATTTGTATAAACTCTGTACACATGAAAAGGCTCTTTTTAACGTATAATACTGATTTTTTTTAGATCTTAACATTTGCCTGTGATGCCTGCAAAACAGTGACACTACATGTTCCCTCCAAACTAGATGCTGTAAAATTTATTGGTAGAGGTAAGAAACTGCCAAAATATGTAATAAATCCTAGCTTGATATGCTCTTGTAAAATTAGTGTAATCTTTAGGAGGATAACTGTATTGGAACTAATAGTTAAAACTAATATAGTACATTCCAATACTTTTTAAAAAATATATATGGTGTCAATCCAATGAACGGAATATTGTACTTTATTGAAAAACATGATTATATAAAGTAGTTAAAATTGTTTAGTTTGAGTAATGAAGTAATTACTAATATTTACGTTAGATGAAGGATATGGTATAGGTTATAACACGTCTATGAAATTGAGAAATAGTATTGAAACTATTTCTTGAGTTTAAAGGTGTTGTTTTTGGATTTTTATCCTAAAATATTTTGGCATCTTACAACATTTACTTCCACATATTTTTTTTTCAATTACTTTTTTCATATAACTCAAATGTATACCAAAAGATCAGACCAATGAAGATACAGAATACGATGACTATTTAACAACAGATGCAAAGAGTTCAGTAATAATTTAATGTAATAACTGCTAGTTTTAATCTCTAGATTCTGTTTAACTTATTTTAAGTGTTCTCATGTATTGCTCTGTGGCTAGTTTCAGTTAATAAAGAAAAACTTTTTTGGTGTGAGTTTAATATTCAAACTGTAGAGTTCACATGCTTTTATTTCAGAACAAATGTCTCTTCTTTAAAAGGCTGTGAAGTAGGTATCAGAAGTGATGGATATGTTTAGTTAAGCACAACTGAATTAACCGTATAGTTTCATATGTCCTTTTAAAAATGCAAAACTTACAAGTGTCAGTGTAATTAAAGTTTTTGACTGCCCCACCTCAAATGCATAGCTTACTGTTAAAGCTATATATTGCTTTGTTTTACCTTACAAATGATTGCTCTGTACATTTTCTACAGTTAACCTGAAGGAGTGCTTTAAATCTGCAAATCTAATTCATTCAAGTGATCCTGATTTCCAAATTTTAGAAGATGGTTCAGTCTATACAAAAAATGCCATCCTTTTGTCCTCAGCGAAGAGATCTTTTACCCTATTACTTTCCAACACAGAGACCCAAGAAGAGAAGAAAATACTTGTCCTTTTAGAGCAACAAACAAAGGTATACCAAAGTATAAAAATGAAGTATGATGAGCTATTTTCTTCAGGTGGAACTAACATGACCAGGGAAGATGTGAATCAGAAAAGATATGTGATAATTTAGCTTGAAGAAGAATAAAAGCCATGACTCAAGTTAACAGTGTTGAAATGGAAAAGGGTTGTTCAACATATGTTATCACAGATTATAATTTCTTTTTATTTGGGACATAAAAGGAGAAATTGGGATATGGGACAGCATGAGAACTTGAGATTAGACACAGAGAAGCATTTCTTGATCTTCACTGTGGAATAGGTTTCCAAAACAAGAAACATTATTGTTTAAGATATTTGTGTATAACTTGGACTTCATAGCTTTTAATTATTCAAGAACTCATATGGCATGTTAATGACTTAGGATGGTGTCCTACTCTGGGCAGCAGTATAGGGTCATGACATGGTTAATTACTCTGAGATACATGAGGCATCCAGAGATAGGTCTCATGTATCTTAGCATAAGTTTTAGTCTTAGAAAATGGAGGACTGTTTTAGGTTAAGGTTTGGACTTCACGCATACTTATGACTTTTTGACATCCAAGATCAAAATGACTTCATTCAACCACTGGCCATTACTCATGACAGCTGTTTGAGAGTTGTCACCATGTTTCTCTCCTCCTTCTGACACAGATCTCTCTGTTGGTCCCCTGGCTCTTCCTAGTTGCCTGGTGAGTGGAAGATGCTTATGCTAAATTTAGAAGGGCACCTGTCTACTTACATTCTTTGCACATTTCTCCTCCCATGTTTTTGCATGGCAGTGTGGCAACAGTACAGTTTTTTTTTTTCAGTTTTGCTTCTAGGCTTCCAATTTCATCTCTCTCTCTTCCATGTTCCCACCAAGTTATTTTCTCAAGAGGATAGCTGTGATAACAGTTAGGGCAGGGATTTCTTGGTTTTTTTTTTTCTAGTATTGACATTTCATTTGGTTTTCGAGCACTACCATGGTCTTACGCCTCCCCAGCTAATCCTCATGAGAGGAGAAAGATGTATCAGAGTTTTAAAGTTTGAAAATAAAGTAGTCGTTGGCTTTATTTATTATTAATATTTTTTTTGTCTTCTAAATTGAGGTACTGAGGAAAAGGCGTTCTCAAGAAAAAGTTCTAATACGTGCCAAGAGAAGATGGGCTCCTATTCCTGCTTCAATGTCTGAGAATTCCTTGGGTCCTTTCCCACTTTTTCTTCAACAGGTATAATTTACTTTCCTTCCACTGTGAGACTCTATGGTTTCCATCTTTGTAAAAAATTTAGACAATGAGTATACAGTTATTTAAAAAGTATGTGTGTATGAATGTATGGGTGAGTATGTGTATCATATGTTTCAATATATGGTATAAATGCATCTCTCTATACCTACGTGTACTTTTTTTTTGCAGTTTTAGTCATGCAAAAGCCATTTATAAAACTGTAAAACCCATATAGCACTCTCAAACACATGCTTCCTTGATGAATTTTCATATCATCAAGGGTATCTCAGAGCCTGGGCATAGTCTAGAAAATCCCAAAACATCTTCCATAACAAAGGATGAAATTGTTGATAACAGGTCAAATGCCATGAAGGGGAAAGACACGTACACCTTTCCATGGTTTATTCCCAGATCCACTGCTTAAATCATACTGGATCCACATTTTCTCTCCCCTGTTTCATTTTTAGTGGAAACCCCAGCAAATCTTCTTTCCTTCCTCCCTTATCAGTGGTCACTACCATTCAGTCTAGCTCTTAGGTTTCTTTTCCCCCAGGTCTTGAAATGGTGAGAGAGAATCGTTGTTTACATCCCACCAACAAATTCAATGCAGCTGAGAAAAGAGCATTTTAAAGTTGACAAAGAAATTGTTAGAAAATAATTGTTAGTCATCCTAATAGATAAGGATCCTACTAAGAGGATGAAAACAATTTGGAAAAAAATTTTCTTTTTGAATCAAATACCAAAGTAGCACACTTGCCAGGATATTGCGTCATTTCCATTCTCACTCATTTTCATCCTCCCATTTAGCCCCTATAAGAGAGAAGATGCTGAGAAATAACAAAAACTAATTAAGGAAACCACTTTCCAAATGTTTGCCTGCCGACAGTATACTTTAAACCCAGTGTCTCAAATATTATGTTATATATAATAAAACTTGAGGTGTAAAACATTGACAGAAGGATAACTTTTCATGCTCAGAATACTTTGTTATCTAAGACAGAGAAAGTCCAAAATGCTTGATCCATGTAGTTACATGTAGCCTTTAAAGTATTTCTTAGTTATTCTGGAAAGCTAAGATGCTATTACATTATTTTCCTCATGTCTTGCTCTTGAATTTCACAATTATTAGGCTTCCTTATTCTAATGCTGCTTTTTATTCAGACATGATAATAAATTAAAGAGGGCAATTACTTATTGTAAAATGTCAGTATGATTGCATAAGTATATAAATGAAAGTTTTGCTGAAATACAAATTTGTCTTTTATGTATATGATGTCTACTTTCTAGATTCAATCTGATACAGCACAAAACTACACTATTTACTATTCCATAAGTGGGCCTGGAGTTGACAAAGAACCTCAAAATTTATTTTATGTAGAGAGAGATACTGGAAACCTGTTTTGTACTCGTCCTGTAGATCGTGAAAAGTATCCATCTTTTGAGGTAAAGTCTAAAGTTTACATATTGTATTAGTAAAATTGAACTTGGCTATTTCGTCTCTCTTCCTCAATTCATTTACTCTTGACTGTTTTCTGATTTTTGGCATCCATGCTCTGGGTATATCTGATAGTACAGACCTGACTGGCAGCAAAAAGAATTTTATAGAATAAATAGCCTTCGATTCTATTAGATTGTTCTGGGAATTATAGTTTACTATTTTTCTTTTCAAAAGAAAAAAAGAGTACCACTTTGAACACTAGTTATTTATTTGGCAGAAAAGATCTGTGAACCTCTTTATGGTACTGAGAGTGATACCATAGGAGGTAAGTCAAGTTCAGAAGTTAAGCCTTGGTACCTTTGCAATGAGAGAAAGTTAACTTGTGGTGAGCAAGTAAGGAGTGTGGACAGTGCTTAACTAGGATAACTAGGCCTTTTCATCATCTGGGCAACCTCCTGTGGTGGGATGAGCGTTAATATATAAGAATTTAACCTAATGTTGTATTGATTTTCCAACGGGAGCTGGTCATTTTGCTTAACTTAGTTTTAATTATTTTATATCTATTTTGGATGATGTAATTACTTAGTTTTAGAATTACTACAACATGACCTTCTAAGTACCTGTGATGGTCTGTTCTTTCTATGATAGCTGTTATGAGAAAAATTGGAATTGAAATTCATATTATAAAATCAAAAGAATAAATCGCATTCAAGACCCAATTTATAACCACTCATTTGGTCCATTTCTGACTCCCCCTTTTTAAATTAAAAAATTCTTATGAAGAAAGTTATCTAAATACAATCATCAATATGCCTAAAATTCTAATTAGAAAATAAAATAATATCTCAGTTAACTGCAACTGGGGAATTTGGAATCCTAAGAATTCAAAGTTATAAAAGATCCAGAAAATTGTATTTAAAATTCATGCACCTGAAACTTTCAAACAAAGCAAAATAGTTCTCAAGACTCTTTCGGGAAAATAATAATAAAAACCCTTACACTCATGAACAACAATACAGGAATGGTGAGGAAACCAAATTTAGCTATGTTATTATATTAGATAAATTTAAACATAAAATGCTATAGTGCACCATGAAATTAACCATCTCTTCTGGCATTAAGGTTATGTTCACATCCAAAAACAGTAACAAATGGTGAAATCCACACGGTGATGCTGAACAGTCTCCAAATGAAAGCCAAAGCGAAAGCAAGTTTGAACCGTATTTTTTTTGCTTTTTTTTTTTTTTTTTTCAATTTTACTCTCTTCACAGCTAGTTGCCTTTGCAACAACTCAGGATGGATATACTCCAGAATATCCACTGACCCTACTAATCAGAATCGAGGATGAAAATGATAACTTCCCAATTTTTACAGAAACAACTTACATTTTTAATGTTTCTGAAAACTGCGGAATTGGTGAGTACCCACCATGGCAATATACGGCAACTTAATGTTTCAATTCATTAGCTGAGTTTCACTCTGGCTACTGGGAGGTGGCACATCCTGCTGCCAAGAACAAGGGACTTGCCAGACAGGCAGCTGTAGGTGGCATTTTACTCTGCCTTTTGCTAGCTGTCTGACATGACCCTGGGCAAATTTCCTAATCTTGACAAGCCTTGGTTTCCTCATCTGTAAAATGGGATATTAATATACAAGGTTGTTTTGAAGGTTAAATGAAGCACAATGTACCTTGAAGGCCAAGCACAGTGCCTGAAAAATAGGAGTGACTCCATGTTACTTTGCCTTCCTGTGTGAGGTAAAATAAATACTTTTAAGAGACCGTATTTTCTAAATATTCTACGAATATTTTTAGAAAATTCTTTTCTAAAAAAGAATAAGTCTTTGAGCAACGGATGTCTTGGCCTTGAAGAGACCTGGCTGATGTTCTATAGTGATTAAATGATAGACAGTATTCTGAACATTATCATAAAGGTCATGGAGAATAATATATTTTCTCAATCTTTTGAAAATTGACCATTTCAGCTAGGAGTCGGAATGCAGATTTTGAGTCTTCCCTTAGAAAGATCTAACTAAACCAAGAATTTTCAGAGCAAACTGACCCATATGATCAATGTAAGTGTAGGCTTACAAATAGAAAAAGGTTAAAGAATAATTGGAATTCTTTAGTCTAGGAATGCAAAGGCCATGGAGGGATATTATCAACATTTATAAATTTATACAATAAATACAGTAAATACAAATATGGTCACCAAATTCCAAAATGTTGGAACGCTGGGATATTTAAAAGTAAGTGCTATTTTATATAGAAGTCTGAAAATGTATAAAAGCTATTACTACTATCAATTATGTGGTTCAAAACTTTTTTGTGGTAGATGGAGAGGAGTCAAATAAAGGGAAAGTTGAAACTATAAAAGTTTTTGAAATTAAAGAGGATTTTTCTGTATGTAGGTACTACCGTGGGACAGGTTTGTGCAACTGACAAAGATGAGCCTGACACACTGCACACGCGTCTAAGGTACTCCATCATCAAGCAGTTTCCAGCATCACCCACCCTCTTCTTTATGCAGTCAGCTACAGGTGTGATCACCACATCATCATCTCAGCTAGACAGAGAGGTAACATAAATATTAACAAATAAAGCCTGATTATCACATGGCTACTTAGCAGTACCTGCATATCTCTGTATACCACCTGCAGATGTGCTTTTGAAAAGCATGTTGTGAATCTAATTTAACAAAAATTATTTTAGGTAGGTTGATGGAGGTCATTGACCTTGCAGTGCTCTGATTTTGAACCACTATTTCATTCTCTCCTGAATTGTATGTTTTATAAAATCAAATTTCCTAATATAAACATATTTATAGTTGTAAAAAACAAGGAATGTCATATATGAAAAGTAAAACTTTCAGAATTTTCTTATCTACAGATAACAATGCTTCTTTTTGTATCTGTGTCATTTCTTCATCAACAATCTCATCTACACTCTT